CCTTTGCAGATGGCCAAGTGTAGCTAAGAGTTTGCAGTGAGACTTTCACACGGTAAATCAGACTGCTCGAAAATAAACATTTAATTATGGGTAACAGCAGTTCACATGATCCATAAAAATACCTTGAAAATATAAATAACACAGATGTACAGCACTGGAATGTGGCGTTCCCTACCACAAGCAAATGGGTGCAACTCTGCAACCACAGTGCGGTGGAGAGTAAATCTCAGATACAGATGACTGCTGTTAAGCTGGTCAGAAGCTAAGTAATACCCCCCCCCCCAGAACTGATACAGGCTGGATCACTGGATTGGTGCTTAAGCTCACTTAGGATGAATCTATAAATCAAAGGGATGGCTTTAGTCAGGTTGTTGCTCACAAAGCCCTCTCTCTATCTCATCCATCGTGCAAACATCATAAATAAAGAAATTAATGTGACCCAGTCCATTTTTCCCTGTCACTTTATATCATCATTTTTCATCTTTGTATGTATGGCTTCATGCTGTCATCTGAGTGTGTTACGTCCATGAACGTAAATGTCATGAACATTTTGTCTGTATTTAAGATGGTATCACTTTACATCCTCAGTGATGTCTTGAAAGCCTTGTAATAAGGCAAATCACTCAAAGGCAGATAGGCACAGATACACGGAGATACACATAGATACATGGAGCTACAATGAGACACACAGAGAACCCCTCCAACAAATACGTACACGCAGAACATTTGGACTGAAGTAAAGGCAGCATATGGTCGTGATTCTAAGCAGCTACAGGTCTGTCTAATGTGGCAGTGAGATGATGGACACACACACACGTACTCACACACACACACATACTCATACACACGCACACACATACAGACACACTCTCACACACACACAAACACACGTACTTACACACACACATACTCACACACGTGCTCACACACACACACACATACTCATACACGCACACACGTACTCACACACGCACTCACACACATGCACACGTACTCACACGCACACATACACACACACACACACGCACTCACACACACACGCACACGTACTCACACACGCACACACACTCACACACAAGTACTCACACACAAGTACTCACACACACATACTCACACACACACACTCACAAACACACTAAAACACTCTCACACGTGCACTTACACACACACACACACACACACACTGAAATTCACAGATTTCCATACTCCCAAACACTGGACAGGATGCAGTCGTAGTTTGTAGACCTTGAGTACAGCATATTCAGGTAACTTTTTTGCTCTAGAGATGATAACAGTGTTATAGTGATATCTCAGATTCAAATGATAATCTCTAATTGAGAGTTAAACACTGATAAGAAACCATATCTAAATAAGGTGTGTGAAACAGTCTGGCATAAACAATCGTAGCTTATTGGCTCCATTGGTAATCTAATTTATTGCCTTCTTCTCTATGAACAAACCTCCCCAGTTCTGAGCTGTGATGTTCAGAAACACAGAAAAGGGCAATCTGTCAACAGTTTGATAAATTGGTTATTAAACTGATTCCAGCCAAACATTTGTGACGGCCAAAGCAACTCTAGCGGTGAAGCAGAACAGCAATGAGTGGCCAAAGCGAGACATTTGAGGTTTGTGACCATGTTCATCAGAATGAAGGTCACTCTGGCGCCTTCATTTACATTAAATAGGTTAGACAGATTACCTTACTTTGTTAAATTACCAGAATAATATATTTTATGGCAATTCACAAACTGCTGATTTCTGCCTAATTTCACAAAATCCATCATTACAACCTGATTATTTTTTCATCTATCCACCACTCCATCCATCAATCCATCTGCATCTCCCAGACAGAGCTCCCAGGTGCGATTCGAACCGCAAAAGCTGGAGTTCATGGCAACTGCAGATCCGAATTATTTGTTAATTTGCTGCTGCTGTTCTTTTAGCAATTTAAGGGTTTAAAAATATAAATAATCACAGCAGGCAGACTTGCTTGTCTTATGTACTATATTTAAATGTGCACACACACACAGATAGATACACACACATGCAGACAGATACACACACAGATAGATACACACACACAGATATATACACACACAGATAGATACACAAACACACAGATAGATACACACACACAGATAGATACACACACACAGATAGATACACACACACACACAGATAGATACACACACACAGACACACACACACACAGATAGATACACACACACACAGATAAATACACACACACAGAGACACACACACACACAGATAGATACACACACACACAGACACACACACACAGACGGATACACACACAGAGACATACACACACAGATAGATACACACACACAGACACACACACAGAGACACACACACACAGATAGATACACACACACAGAGACACACACACACANACACACACACACAGATAGATACACACACACAGAGACACACACACACACAGATAGATACACACACACACAGAAAGATACACACACAGACGGATACACACACACACAGATAGATACACACAGACACACACACACACAGATAGATACACACACACACACACACACACACACACACACAGAGACACACACACACAGATAGATACACACACACACAGAGACACACACACACAGATAGATACACACACACACAGATAGATACACACACACAGAGACACACACACACACACAGATAGATACACACACACAGCTGAACCACGTAAATCATGTCCCTAAACACTCGGTGAGTCCCTTGTGACAGGCGGTGCTCATTCTACGGAGCCCATTAAACATGCATCATGAAACCACAGATCTGTGATCGAAAGCACTGGGGAGACCCAGACATGGTGCTGTTTGCACACGGGCTTAATGACCCGCCTCAGCGCTTGATAACATGCAGCTTATTGATTAGCCCCCTCCCCCCGCCTGCGTCAAACCTCCTAATGAGGGATGGGGGGATAAAGAGTGCGACTTGGCGATACCGCTAATGCACGACTGGAGGCATCCCTGCCAGGGGCTCCGCCATGGCCGCCTGCAGGTCCCGTCCACCATGGCAGCGTGCAGGTCCCGTCCCAGGCCACCATGGTGGCCTGCAGGTCCCGTCCACCATGGCGGCGTGCAGGTCCCGTCCGGCCAGGCCACAGAGCAGCCATCCTCCCAAATCCAATGATTCCTGACATCTGCATCCTCATGGAATTTAAGGCTTTTGTGGCTCACATGCAGGGCTGCTGCCCCAGGGGGGTGTCCATATGTCACCACTCCCCGATATAAACACATGCAAACAAACAGTGTCTTTGCCCATTTAGGAGGCTGCAGGGATGCAGCTTTGGATACTCAGTGAATTAGGGACAGACCTGAAGCACGTTGTCACAATTCCCCGAAGTGGTTCTCCATGGGTAAAGATCATTTTCTGAAAGGATTTAGTACAGGACGTGAAATAAAACCAGGAACTGATGTTACAGGAACCAGAGACTCTGAGTCTGTGATGTACTTTTTGGATTTTGGAGTAATCATACTGAAAGTCTAAATAACAATACTCTTTCAGTATCCTTCAAATATGCCGACCGCCGTGTGTGACAGTGCAGCATGTGGATGAAAACTGGCATTCAGGCTGTCTAATCCACTGTGTCAGGCAGCGCTGGCATTTTATTACACAGAAATCACCATCAAAATACTAAAAATATATAGTTTAAGATTGAGACTCAACATGGATTGAATAGAGAGATTTATCGAGCTCAGCGATGAAACAGCCATAAAAACTACAGAACCAACAAAGAGAATTTTATGGCCCAAAAAATCAACAGGCAATCCATATAACTGTGGTACCAGCGTTAGTGCTACTAGTACCCCGATATTAGCAATATGGGTATTCCTAGTATTAATGGAATGAGTATTCCCAGTATCAGTACTCCCAGTGACAGTGTTAGCGGTATGGGTATTCCCAGTGTCAGTGTCAGTAGTATTGGTTTTCCTAGTGTCAGTGTTAGCGGTATGGGTATTCACAGTGTCAGTGTTACAGTATGCATATCTCCAGTGTCAGTGTTAGCGGTATGCGTATCCCCAGTGTCAGTGTTAATGGTATGGGTATCCACAGTGTCAGTGTTAGCGATATGGGTATTCACAGTGTCAGTGTTAGCGGTATGCGTATCCCCAGTGTCAGTGTTAATGGTATGGG